GATGCGTTGAGATGTTGCTTCAGTATTTCTCCATAATGTTCTTTCTTCATGATGCCATCTATGCTGTGAAGTGGACCAGTCCCTCCTGCAGCAAAACAGCCCCACAACATGATGCTGCCGCCCCCATACTGCACAGTTGGGATGGTGTTCCTAGGCTTGTGCGCTTTCCCCTTTGTCCTCCAAATGTAACACTGCTCATTATGGCCAAACAGTTCAATCTTAGCTCCATCAGAGCACAGGACATGTCTCCAAACATGAGTCTTTTTCCCAGTGTAGTTTAGCTAATTGTAATCTGGCTTTGTTGTTGATTCTGGCTTGTTGATTTCCCCATGTTGTCACACAAGGAAGCAGTGTGTTTGAGCTTTTCCTTCAATACTATTCTACAGTTGTGCCTCACATTAACTCAAATGTTGTCAATCAGCCAATCAGAAACTTCCAAAACCTTGACATCATCATCTGAGCTTTTCCAGAGGCAGACTAATCTTACTGTATGTAAACTTAACTTTCAAGAAGAGTTATAGCAAATTCTCCATATATCTCTCTCATTATTCTGCTGTTAATCAGAACAGAAACAAATGTGATCATCCTAATTTACCTAACAGAGAAAAAGTTTAGTCACGATAACATCTGACTGTTTTTAATGGTAATGTGCCGTTTTATACAGTGTATGTTCAGTTCTGCTTTCAGCTGTATATGCACTATGCATCTAAAAGCAGGTATGTCCTCTAAGGGGTGGCAAGATCACATTAATAAATTCATTTCCGCTGAGGTGAAGGTGTAACAGAGACGAATGCCTCTGCCATCACAGAGCGCTACTGACGGTCTGCCATTAAGACCATGCAAATTCCACCAAAAACACATCCAATGTCTGCGTTCGGGCACAGATCAGTAGCTCACAAAATGTCAGGGTTGGTTTTCATTGAGTTTTATGTTTGTTGTTCTTTGTCTTTTGTGTTTGTTGAATCTGCTCTCTCTGGATTTGGGTCCTGCGGCGGCTCTTAGTGCTAAAGACGTGTTAGGAGCTCCTGCAAATGCCTGAACATGACAGCAAACCATTAGCTCATGCTAAGAGTAATGACCCTCATGGCAACAAAGCTGAGGGATTATTTATTAGTGCTGTGGTCTGTGGGGAATGAGTCCGCGCACACACACACACACACACACACACACACACACACAGAAATGATTTGTGTAATCCTGCTTGTGTTGGCACTGCACGTGATGAAATCATTATGGGCGTCCGGTTGCCAGAGTCTCTGGATACAAACTCTAATCACACACACACACACACACACACACACACACACACATACACACAGTTCATAATGCTTAGCACCTGTTGAGTTTGCTGCAGTTGTCTCAGTTATTCACCACTGAAAAAGCAGTTTCCTGCATCTGTAACACACTCTACTTAAGTTAGCAAGCTAACAACCTGAATGATAACACACTGCTCAGAATGTGTGTTTTTTTTCAATGCCAGCTGATGTTAGAAAAACATTTGTAAGCCGTAGACACCGCACACATGCTTATTATTCACGCACATTCCTTTTTGAGACAGAGTCGGTTCTGTAAATTACCCTCATTAAACAAAGTCAAGTCTGCAATAGTTTGATTGTTATCTTGGTAATTACGGTAATTTATTGGCAAGGATTAATTATCCAGAATCAAATCAAAATGAGGTCATGCTGAGTTCGAGATTGAGTCGATTAAGTCTGTTCACCTAACCGCTTTTTTAATCTAATTCTGATCACCCTTTAACAAAACAAGATACGTTAATCTCAAAATACTTTCAGTAGCATTATCAAATACTTCAGTGTCATATTTTAGATTTTGCTTTACCTAAAATAATTGTAAAATGTTTTATTTCATAAATAAAGTTCTATATTTTGAAAAACAACATTATTTTATTTGTTTTTTTACACTTGAACTTTGTTGTGACGTTGTTACCATCTCATTTTCCGAGTAAAGTCATGTTAGCCACGTACAGTATATTCGGTTTTCCACCAGAAATCAATCTTGAGCACTTATTGATGGGGTCCGACTCTATCTTGCAGAGCCGTGTGTCGCAGAGGGTGTGTGAGAGCATCAATCATGCTGTTAGGCTACACACACACACGCACACACACACATTCGCAAGGCTCCTTAAATAGCTCTGCAGTGGACAGAACTGGAAATGTCACGCCTGAGCGAACCAAAGAGAATCAAACAGAAAGTATTGATCATGTCATCCGAGGGTAAACTGCTGTTTATCTTAGCTGTTTGGTCACTGTCAGGAGTATTGGCATTACATACCATTTTAAAAATGTATTATACTTGAAATATATTTATTAAATTTATAAAATATTTGGAATCTTTTGAATTAAAAGTAAGACAAGTTCAGGAAGAATTAAGTCAAATTAATATTGCTTTCATTTCAATACAAGTGATAAAATAACACATTAGCCCCTTTCACACAGTGATACCGGTAAATATCTGGAAAATTTCCGGAACGACTTTACCGGTATATTCAAAAAAGCGCTGTTCACACAGGAGAGGACTTTACGGAAATTTTCCGGAAAAGAGCATTCACACATCCATTCCAAAATACCGGTAAATTCTGACATCATTCACCACAAATGAGCTTTAAACGGCTGCGCTTGTATTTGTAAACATTTGACTACATTACAAACTCTGTGGATGATCAATATTGTGAACAACTTTCGCAGGATCACTTTCGCATGTCGAGATGTTCATAATATGTGCGTGTGCAGGCGCTCACAGGCTGTTTCAAAGGCACACGCAAAGCTTAAAGGTAAACAAACAACGGCTTATCATAAGCATCTCATCGATGATTATTTACACAGTTGGCATAAAGAAGAACATATAAACGTGATCTGACTAACTTCTAGCAGCTAAATGTGTCTGGAAAAATATTCAAAGGTTTTTATTCTCACAAACTGCGCGGACGTGAATGCGTCTGACTGTTGTGATTGGCTAAAGCAGACGTCTCACGTCAGCACGTTCTAGACGTGCACGCGCTTATTACGGTAATCTTCCTTCTGCATTCACACAGCGCAGCATTCCGGCAAATTGCCGGTAATGTTACAACTTCTCTTTCCGGAAAATAGCCGGAACGAATTTACCGGTATTTTCAAAAAGGACCTGTTCACACATACAACCTTTCAAGGTCTGTATGTGTGAGAGGGGCTATTGAGTCCTAACTGATTGGAAAATGTATAAACCATTTTTTGCAGCTCACAAATTCAGTTGTGTTTTGGGCATAAATGTGTTCAAGGCTACAGTTTTGAGATCATGTTAATGTGTATAAAGCCCTGAAACTGAAGATGCAGATTTTGGGGGGTTATTTTTATGTTAATAACCACAATTAAGGATTTAACATTTCATTCAGTTGTAGTGCCACCTAGTGGTTGTTACTATTGAAATTTGGTGCATATACTTAGATAAGCATAGTCTCTACTTGTGCCAAATTTGGTGAAGATCAGATGCTGTCTCGTCCAAAAACCCTAATATCTTCACATAAATTTAGCGAAATTTAGTCAGGGAATTAACAGACAATGCATGATGTTGCATGGTGTCAAACTGCAATTTTCAAATGTGTATGCTAAAAAGCATTATTTGTTTTATAATATCAGTGTGTGACAGATTGTATGAAATTCTGACTTTGTCGCTTCCAAAAAATGCAGATTGATACAAACAGGGGCTTGTATCAAAAACACAAAGCTTTGATTTACTACATGAAATGAAATGTGTTATACTGTATATCTGAAAGCAGATCACTTACTTATTGTTATTGTGAATGCACTACTTATACTATTAACTCTACTAAATGACATAAAATAGTGCATAAGTATGTGATTTGGATGCAATTTGGTGCATGTACTTAGATTAGCATGGTCTCTACTTGTTACAAATTTGGTGAAGATCAGATGCTGTCTCATCTAAAAACCCAGATTTCTTTACATAAATAAAGCGAAATTTAGTTCTGATGTTGATGATGCAAATGATGTTGCATGGTGTCAAATTGCAATTTTCTAATGTGTACACTAAAAAGCATTATTTGTTTTATGGTATCAGTGTGTGCCAGATTGTATGAAATTCTGACTTTGTAATTTCCAAAAAGGCAGATTTCTTCTTTTTAATTAGAAGCAAACAGTTCCTGCTATCAGAACACAGAGCTCTGATTTACTACATGAAATGAAATGTGTTATATATCTGAAAGCAGATCACTTATTTATTTATTTTCAGTGTGAATGCACTACTTGTACTATTAAGTCTACAACATAATGTATAATAGTGCATAAGTATGTGATTTGAATGCAATTTGGTGCATGTACTTAGATTAGCATGGTCTCTACTTGTGCCAAATTTGGTGAAGATCAGATGCTGTCTCATCCAAAAACCCAGATTTCTTCACATAAATTTAGCAAAATATAGTCTGGAAATTAACAGATCATGTATGATGTTTCATGATATCAAACTACAATTTTCTAATGTGTACGCTAAAAAGCATTATTTGTTTTTATAATATCAGTGTGTGCCAGATAGTATGAAATTCAGACTTTGTCGTTTCCAAAAAGGCAGATTTCTCCCCTTTTTAAGAAGCAAACAGTTCCTGCTCTCAGAACACAGAGCTCTGATTTACTACATGAAGTTAAATGTTATATACTGTATCTGAAAGCAGATCACTTATTTATTTTCATTGTGAATGCACTACTTATACTATTTATTCTACTAAATGACTTAGAATAGTGCATAAGTATGTGATTTGGATGCAATTTGGTGCATGTACTTAGATTAGCATGGTCTCTACTTGTGCCAAGTTAGGTGAAGATCAGATGCTGTCTCATCCAAAAACCCAGATTTCTTCCCATAAATGTAGCGAAATTTAGTTCTTAGTAAATGAACAGACAATGCATGATATTTCATGATGTCAAGCTGCAATTTTATGACATTTTCAAATGTGTAAGCTAAAAAGCATTATTTATGTGCATGTTTTCCAGTGTCCCGGTTTCCCAGTCCTCGTATGACGCCCAGGTTGAGCCGTAAGCGAGCGCTGTCCATCTCTCCGCTCTCAGACGCCAGCATTGACTTGCAGACCATGATCCGAACGTCCCCCAACTCTCTGGTGGCCTACATCAACAACTCACGCTCCAGTTCGGCCGCCAGCAGCTCCTATGGACACCTGTCAGTCGGAGGAATCAGGTACAAACTGGACTTAATCAGATCACTGTAGTTGCATACCAGATTACACACCATAACTTACAGCATGCACTTATACACTCAACCGTGCAGTGTATGATTTTAGTGTCATCAAAAGTGGAACACTAACAATTGGTTTTATGATCTGTTTCCAAAACATTGTTTAACAGTTGCTGCTCATATAGAAGTCAAATATATGGTAATATATGCAATATAAGCAAGATCAGATTTGGAATTTACATATGAAGAGTTCAAATGCAAAAACCTCCAAGTGCCGTCTGAAATTTCTCATCAAAAAAAACGTTTTTTTTTTCAGCCACTTTTGTTTATGTTGAGATATTTCACTTTAAAGACCAGGAAAATGGCTTATTCTTTGCCATAAAAGTGATATTACTGAACATAGACACTCATTTTAGAGGTTTTTGCATCTAAACTCTTCATATATACACGTATACATTTTAAAATGAACATTTTGAAATATTGCAAAAAAGGCCACTTACCTGTTTACATTTTCAACCACTTGAATTACAGATTTGTAGACATATGTTCAAATATTAGAGGTGTGAACCTATACTGGTCTCACGGTTCGGTTATGATTATCATGCCATCGATTCGGTTCAATTCAATGTCTCGGTGCATTGACGATGCTTTCCATACACAGTGTTATGTTTTGGGGGGAGGCTATAACAAGCTGTCTGTATAAACACACAGACATACAGCACCATTCACACTCATGCACAAACAAACACAGCACCAAACAAAAACAAACACACACACACACACACACACACACATGCTCACACACTTAAGCCTTTACAATATGCGTTTAGCCGGGAGAGCTTGCGCTGAGCGGAGCAAAAAAAAAAAAAAAAGAAGCACTTTTCCGACGGTCTCTTAGTGAGAGCTCCGCTCAGCGCGAGCTCTCCCGGCTAAACGCATATTGCGAGGGCTTAAACAGAGCAGTGGTTGTAATTTCGAGCAAAAAAAGAAAGAAAAAGACAGCGGTGAAACATAACCAGCTTTGTCTTTTTGTAGGAAACACACTTTAGATCTTTTTAGGGTAAGAGGTTTTTGAGTTATTGCCGTCTATAACTGAATGTGTCAGGAATATCAAAACAAAACTAACTTAACCGTGCTTATTTCTGGCGCCCCCTGGATGTACAGCGCCATTTGCTATTGCCTATACTACCTATGCCACGGGTCGGCCCTGAGTTGGCTCCTGAGTGTTGTAAATACCCGCGCTCACCTCCCTCGTGACAGAGCGCATAGGAGATAAATGACGTCAGAACATAATTACCGGTTATGATTATTACTGAACTGATACCGAATTGTCCGCGTCTGCATCACGGTGCACCGAAGAAAGAATTATTTTAGCACCCCTATCAAATATATTAGCAAATCTTATACATGTGTTCATATATGGCCATACTTTTATATATAATATATTCAAACATATATGTACATATTTAGAAATATAATTGTTGAAAAAGCAGCCATTTGTGAAGTTTCATAAACTAATTTCGAGAGGAGCACGTGATATGATTGAGCACAGCTGGCCACTCATTTGTAATCAGTAATAATCCAATCCGGGTGATCCTAGTCTACTATAAATGGATCACTTTCTAACCTTTTTCCCTATCTTCGTTTCGGAAGAATCCCCCCTTCCACCCCATCTCCTCCTCTTTTTTTTTCTTCTTTTCTAAAAAGGGGGAACTATCAAGACCTTCCTGATGTTGGATCCTCTGATATGCTTATTGACCGGGCGGGAGCCCTGGGCTCAAATATCTCCGAACTCAGGGTTCTCTCCCGGGACAACATGCCAAACCTGCTATAATGCTAAGCATATCTAAGTGTGAACTCTTGAAATGCAGTATTTCTCAAACAAGAAGTCCTGTGTTACAGATTCAGTTGTATTTTGGGGTAAACTTTCTTCAATTAAAGCGCCACCTGATGGTGAAAACTTCTGTTATTTGGTGGATAATCTCAGATGGTCTTTATATCAGTGTGTGCCAAATTGTATGAAATTCAGACTTTGTCATTTACAAAAAGACAGATTTCTGCTTTTTAATTCGAAGCAAACAGTTCCTGCTATCAAAACACAGTGCTTTGATTTACTACATGAATTTACATTTGCGAACCATGTGTCTGAAAGCAGATCCCCTATTGATTTTTAGTGTGAATGCACGTTATTTACATTGTGAATTGCAGTATGGGACGTTGAGCTCTGCTCTGTCCACTTCTGATGTTGAAAATTCAACTCTACAGTTTCACAAAGTGACTCTTCTTGACTTTTTAGTCGTTTTTATAACTTGTTTTATTGTCCAAATATAAATAAAATCTTAAATCAAGAAGCATTTTACAAAAAAGCAAATAAAAACTGACTAGTTTCAGGAAATAACATGCAAAAATTAAGTTTTCACAAGGCAAATAATCTGCCAATGGAGTAAGCTATTCATGCTATTTATTCTACAATATGATATAGTCTAGTGCAGAAGTGTGTGCTTTTGGATGCTCTTTGTGTGTTTGCACTTGCAGCACATGCTCATGTCTTGCTGTTGTGTTGCAGCCCTTCGTTCCCGTTCCCACACTCCATTAATCCAGTGGCGTATCAGCAGCTGTTGACCCAGCAGCGAGGCCTCAGTGCGTTCGGACACACGCCGCCGCTTATTCAGCCATCACCAACATTCTCCAGCAGACACCCGCTGAGTCTGTCCACTCTGCCCACGCCAACCACCAATGACACGGAGACCAAGGTAAAACAGTGCATTACCACAGCTGACCACTAGGCATGGGTTGGTGTAAGATTCTGACAGTATGATAACCTTGGATGAAGATATCACGGTATTATAGTGAATACTGCGCTAAAATGTGTTTTTTTTTATGTCTGGGTAAAAAACTACAACTTTGTCCTATTGAACACAATGTGTTTTATTTTAAGAAGCTTATTTTGGCCCAGTAAACATGTCAAGCTAAATAATCCAGGTAATTCTTTGAATTCTGCTGTCATTGCTGTGATTCACGAGTGTTTTTCATTTATTTCTGGTTTTGAATTGCATTATGGCATGAAAATTTTAACTCTACAGTTTAACAAAGTGACTTTTATTAACATTTTAGTAGTGTGAAATAATATATAAAGTCTAAAATAAGCCTGTTAAATCATTCATTACAAGGCTTTATAATATCAGGGTGTGAATTACTGGGGGTTTGTGGTGGTCTGACCCCCCTAATTAACAATTGATCCCACGTGAAGGACATCAAAACAATATGTATGGGTGTTCTGCCCTTTAATAGTTAAGAAATAGTTTGCTCTGATCTGTATCTTAAAGAATATTAATAATTCAAGTAATAAATAACTTAAATATGCATTTGACCACCCCTATAATAGTTTATACCCTTATACTAAAAGCATTAATTTAGTGGTTTGAAACCGGCATATCGAGAGCTCCGACAGACAGCGTAAATGAAAAGTTAATTAATATGAAAAGTTCATTTTCAAGGTAAAAAGTTGTTGGAGGAAAGATCAAGATCCCATAATGCAACTCAAAAACATAAATAAATGGTAAAAAATTAAAACATGAATCACAAAATAATTTTTTTTTTTAATGTCTGGGTAAAAAACAACAACTTTGTCCTATTAAACACAATGTGTTTTATTTTAAGAAGCTTATTTTGGCCCAGTAAACATGTCAAGCTGAATAATTCAAGTAAATCTTTTAATTCTGCTGTCATTGCTGTGATTTACGAGTGTTTTTCATTTATTTCTGGTTGTGAATTGCATCATGGCATGAAAATTTAAACTCTAAAGTTTAACAAAGTGACTTTTATTAACATTTTAGTAGCGTTGAATAAGATATAAAGTCTAAATTAAGCCTGGAAAATCATAGAAAATGCACTGGCAGTTCATTACAAGGCTTTATAATATCAGTGTGTGAATTACAGGGGGGTTTTGTGGTGGTCTGACCCCCCTAATTAACATTTGATCCCACATGAAGGACATCAAAATGATATGTATGGGTGTTCAGCCCTTTAATAGTTAAGAAATAGTTTGCTCTGATCTGTATCTTAAATAATACTAATAGTTCAAGTAATGGATAACTTAAATACGCATTTGACCACCCCTATAATGGTTCATACCATTATACCAAACGCATTAATTCAGTGGTTTGAAACCGGCATATCGAGAGCACCGACAGACAGCGTAAGTGTTCACTAAACATGTTTCTTGTAAAACAGGCTTTTGTAGGCGTCTTTAAAACTAGATGCAGAGTTTGTATTGTAATATACACTTGCACACACATGGAAGCTAAACAGTAAAATTAAAAATACGTGCAGTCTTTCATGGCTATCCATTAATAGGTGCAGAAATGCAATACGTTTATTTAATATCTCAGATATCAGAACCAGTCGATATTCTTCAAAAAGCTGAAAACATCATAACAAGTTTGTTTGAATAATAAATCAGATGTAATTGAATTAAATAAATTTGGTTCACTGAGGCATATTACAGAACATAATCGGAAAAACTTGACCCCCCCCCACCGATCATCAATGTTTAATTTGCACCCTGCTTAATATACAACCCCAACCCAGACAATATATCACTTTAAACTTTTAGAAATGTTCATTAAAGTTAATTTTTCAAACTTTTCAAGGTTAAAAGTTGCTGGAAGAAAGATCAAGATCCCATAATGCAACTCAAAAACGTAAATAAACAGGGGAAAATAAAAAGATGAATCACAAAATACAGAGAACTGATCATTCACGGATGTTTTTTACAGTGCATGTTATAAAAAAAAAAAGCCTAAGCATGATTGTTCGGGTTATTAGCGCCGACAGCAGCAGTTTCTCAGCGTCTGACAGAAACAGCATATGAGAAGCAGGTTTCTGTGGTCGCACCGCTATCACATTCGAGCAACCAGAACCACACGCCGTTTATAAGCACACACCGACTCTGTCAGCACGGAGTGGTTTATTCAGACGTCACGTTCACTCACAGGCTTTTTTTCCTCTGTCTTTCTGTAGAACTCAAATGGAGAGTCTGCGGTCAGCAGCACAGTCAACCCACTCGGCAACAAGAGGTCAAAGGTCAAGACGGAGTTGGGCGGGCCGCGACCTGTGTCACCCTACTCACCGGTAAGACAACATATGCTGAACATGCTGAGCTGACTTGCCTGCAGAACCATTTTAATTTTTTGTCAAATATTCCCCCATGATGTTGAACAGATTCAGGAATTTTTCATAGTATTTCCTATAATCTTTTTTCTTCTTAAGAAAGTCTTATTTGTTTTATTTTGGCTAGAATGAAAGCAGTTTAAAAAGAAAACTATTTTGAGTTCAATATTATTTATCCCGGCGAGGCAGTGGCGCAGTAGGTAGTGCTGTCGCCTCACAGCAAGAAGGTCGCTGGTTCGATCCTCGGCTCAGTTGGCGTTTCTGTGTGGAGTTTGCATGTTCTCCCTGCCTTCGCATGGGTTTCCTCTGGGTGCTTCGGTTTCCCCCACAGTCCAAAGACATGCAGTACAGGTGAATTGGGTAGGGTAAATTGTCCGTAGTGTATGAGTGTGTGTGTGAATGTGTGTGTGAATGTTTCCCAGAGATGGGTTGCGGCTGGAAGGGCATCCGCTGCGTAAAAACTTGCTGGATAAGTTGGTGGTTCATTCCGCTGTGGTGACCCAGGATTAATAAAGGGAATAAGCCGACAAGAAAATGAATGAATGAATTATTAACCCCCTTTTTTATTTTGATTATCTACAGAACAAACCACTGTTATGCAATGACTTGCCTACGGTTATTACCTTAACCGTAACTACCTTAATTACCTAATTAACCTAGTTAAGCCTTTAAATAAGCTGAACAGTATTTTGCTAAACAATTATTAAAATATTATGTGGTGTCATCATGGCAAAGACAAAGAAATTAGTTATTAGAAATGAGGTATTAAAAAAATTATAATAAAAAAATTGAGAAACCTCCAGATTCCTTGAATCTTTTAATGGCTGTGGAAGCCGAGTCTTCCTCTCTTTCTTTGAGGAACATTATTTTTAAACATTTCTACTGTGGTTCTGACATGTTTGTTGTCAATCTGGCGATCCTCGGCCCATCTTTGATCCTAAAGGACTAGAACTTTCTTGGATGCTGCTTTTGTACCAAATCATAATTACAATTACCTGTCGACATCACCTGCTTCGCATCACATCATTATTTAGCTTATTTACCTGATTACTAGCTCTAAACTGCTCCTGGCACAACTTTTGTGGGAATGTGCCACAGGTCTGAATGACAGGAACGGATGAATACAAAAGAAATGAAGCTGACCAGACAAAACATGAAGTGAAGTTCAACTTTAAACTAATTTCGAGAGGAGCATGTGCTCATGATTGACCCAGCTGGTCCACATTAGCTAATCATGATCCTCCAATCAAAGCATCCCAAGTCACTAGTTATATCCTCATTTTCTTTCTACAACTATCTTCGTCTGGAAGAAACCCCTCTCCTCCCCTTCTTCCTCCTTTATCCAGAATGGGCGGCACACAGGGCTGGCGCGTCCATAGAGGTGACCTAGGCGGCAGAATAGAGAGAGTGGCGTCCCCGAAACTACCCTCGCCCCCTGCGCCCTCAGTTATATCCGCGTCTAGTGCTGCAGAATAGAGAGAGTGGCGTCCCCGAAACTGCCTTCGCCATCAGCGCCCTCAGTTATATCCACGTCTAGTGCTGCAGAATAGAGAGAGCGGCGTCCCCGAAACTACCCTCGCCATCAGTGCCCTCAGTTATATCCACGTCTAGTCGGCAGAATAGAGAGAGCGGCGTCCCCGAAACTACCCTCGCCATCAGTGCCCTCAGTTATATCCGCGTCTAGGGCAGCAGAATAGAGAGAGTGGCGTCCCCGAAACTACCCTCGCCATCAGTGCCCTCAGTTATATCCACGTCTAGTGCTGCAGAATAGAGAGAGCGGCGTCCCCGAAACTACCCTCGCCATCAGCGCCCTCAGTTATATCCACGTCTAGTCGGCAGAATAGAAATAGCAGCCCCCCCCCCCCCCCCCCCCCCCCCCCTTTTATGGTTGAGGGCGGCATGACCGACCTTTGCCTAGAGCGCCACTTCAGCTTGCTCCGGCCCTGGCGGCTCGGTGGCCCAGTTACTAGCAATGTTGCCTCACAGCAAGAATACCTATGGCGTTGGGTCCTCGCTGAGCCATCTGGTATTACTGTGCAGAGTTTGCATGTTCTCCCCGTATCCACGTAGGTTTCCCCCGGGTTCCCTGGTTTCCTCCCACCATCCAAATGTGCTCTATATTATAGATAAAATAAGCCTAAACCTTTTTTATAATGTCTTACTCTCAGGAATTTCACCTTGGCCTCAGCAGCGGGGGAGTTTGAGAACTACCTGAGCTCAGTCTCCCCTCGCCCTACAAAAAGAGGGGAGCCCTGGGCTCGAGGATGTTTTGAGCTCAGGGCTCTCTCCCGGGACAGCATGCCAAACAAGCTATGTATAAATCCTGATCTAAGTGTGAACTCCTGAAATATTTTGTGTTCATATTGTCTGCAATCAAATACAAATCACTACTGAAGTTTTTTAGTTTGCATTTTCCATACTGTCTCTACTTTTCCTGCCGCAGTAGTGCATTCTGGGACTGCCTGTACTCACGGTGCTCACTATAGGGCTATAAAAACAGAACTTTAAAAGATCGAAACGAAACGGTGAATGGCCCATGTGTCCTGTTATTCTGAAAAAGCGTGGACTTTTCTCCGGGAAATGCTCTGTACTGATCAATGACGGAGCAAGAGGCCCCCGGGAGCCGCATCGGTCCCCTGACCCCCTTCTTCACACGAAAAACTCCAGCTGATAAGAGCTTTACTGGCTCCGGCTCCGCGCTCCTCCCGCGGCCGCGTAAACTGTGCCAGAGCACTTCATTTTAATGAAATATTGGCCGGCCGTTATTGTCACCTGAGAGTTTTTTTCCCTCTCTCTCTCCCTTTCTCTCTCTTGCGCCGCTCATCTTTTGACAAATCTGCGGCTGCTCTTGGCGGTGAGGCGGGTTGGTGGTTGATGCATGGGGAATACGGCGGCTGGCGGCGTCTGGGGGCCGCAGAATTGATGAAGACGCTCACAGGGCAGAGATAAACATGCTGCAGTCAGCATGCAGCGCGGCCGAGAGCGTCTGCACTACCCTCAGCAGTGCTCTTAACACCACACACGTGTCCCACAATTAATGTCTGCACTTCCTGCTGCTGTTCTGGAGGAGGAAATAATAGATCAGCGTTCAGGAGTGCTGATATAGAGCATAACGGCACGGGTCACTCATCCAGAGGGCCAACAGCGTAAACCTTGATATTTGGTTGATTATTGGTTCTGATGGCAACATTTAATGCCATAAAGAGAATAAATTGAGGTTAAGTCAATAAAATGGCAATCTGTCAATGGGCCCACAGTGGCATGAAACATTGATATTTGGTTGATATTTGGTTGATTATTGGTTATGATGCCAATATTTAATGTCATTATGTAATTAAGTAGTGTTAGGTCAATAAAATGGCATAGTTCACTCTTCCAGAGGGCCACTGGTGGCTTGAAGCGTTGATATTTGGTTGATTATTGGTTATGATGACAACACTTATGGTCATTAAATAAAAAAATGGTGTTAAGTCAAGTAAATGGCATGGGTCACTCATCCAGCAGGCCAACAGGGGCATTAAATGTTGATTATTGGTTCTAATGACAGCATTTAGTCCATGCTACTGAATAAATAAATGGTGTTAAGTAAATAAAATGACATTGGTCAGTCATCCAGTGGGCCACTAATGGCTTGAAGCATTGATATTTGGTTGATTATTGGTTCTGATGGCAACGTTTAATACTGTTAAGTAAATACTTGGTGTCGTCAATAAAATGGCATGGGTCAGTCATCCAGTGGGCCAGCAATCACATACATCATTGATATTTGGTTGATTATTGGTTCTGATGGCAATATTTAATGCCATTAAGTAAATAAATGGTATTAAGTCAATAGAATGGTACCGTTCACTCATCCAGCGGGCCAGAACTGGCATGAATTGTTGACATTTGGTTGATTATTGGTTCTGATGGCAACATATGTGTTAAGTCAATAAAATGGCATGGGTCACTCATCGAGTGAGCCAATAAAGGCATGAAACGTTGATATTTGGTTGATTATTGGTTATGATGGCAATATTTAATGCCATTATGTAAATATGTAGTGCTAAGTCAGTAATATGGCATAGTTTACTGTTCCAGAGGGCCACTGGTGGCTTGAAGCGTTGATATTTGGTTGGTTATTGGTTCTGATGGCAACACTTTTGGCCATTAAGTAAAAAAATGGTGTTAAGTCAATAAATGGCACGGGTCACTCTTCCAGTGGGCCAACAATGGCATGAAACATTGATATTTGGTTGATTATTGGTTCTTATGACAACATTTAATGCCAATAAGTAATTAAATAGTTAAGTCAATTAAATGCCATGGGTCACTCATCCCGTGGGCCACTGATGGCTTGAAACGTTGATATTTAGTTGATTATTGGGTATTATGGCAGCATTTAATGCCATTAAGTAAATAAATGATGTGAAGTCAATGAAATGGCATGGGTCACTCATCCAGCGGGCCAACAATGGCATGAATCATTGATATATGGTTGATTATTGGTTCTGATGTCAACATTTAATACCGTTAAGTAGATAAATGTTGTTAAGTCAATAAAATGGCATGGTTTACTCTTCCAGTGGGCCACTGATGGCTTGAAGCGTTGATATCTGTGTTGATTATTGGTTCTGATGGAAACATTTACTGCCAATAAGTAATTAGATAGTATTAGGTCAATAAAATGGCACGGGTCACTCATTCAGTGGGCCTGCAATTGCATGAATCGTTGATTTTTGGTTGATTATTAGTTCTGATGGCAACATTTAATACTGCTAAGTAAATAAATGGTGTTAAGTAAATAAAATGGCACGGTTCACTTAACTAGCAGGCCAAAAATGGCATAAAATGTTGGTATTTGATTGATTATTGGTTATGAGGGCAACATTTAATACTGTTATATAAATAAAAAGTGTTTAGTCAATAAAATGGCACAGGTAATTCATCAAATAGGCCAACAATAACATGAAATGTTGATATTTGGTTGATTATTGGTTATGATGGCAATATTTTATGCCATTGTGTAATTAAGTAGAAGTCAGTAAAATGGCATGATTCAGTCATCCAGAGGCCCACTGGTGGCTTGAAACGTTGATATTTGGTTGATTATTTATTCAGATGGCAACACTTATGGCCATTAGGTTAAAAAATGGTATTAAGTCAATAAAATGGCATGGGTCACTCATTCAGTGGGCCAACAATGGCATGAAATGTTGATATTTGGTTGATTATTGGTTCTGATGACAACATTTAGTGCATGCCATTGAGTGAATAAATTGTGTTAAGTCAATAGAATAGCACGGGTCACTCATCCAGTGGGCCACTAATGGCTTGAAGCGTTGATATTTGGTTGATGATTGGTTCTGATGGCAACATTTAATGCCATTAAGTAAATGGTGTTAAGTCAATAAAATGGCATGGTTTACTCTTCAAGTGGGCCACTGATGAATTGAAATCTTGATATTTGGTTGATTATTGGTTTTGATTGCAAAATGTAATGCTGTTAAGTAAATAAATCGTGTTAAGTCAATTAAATGGCATGGGTCACTCATCCAGCGGACCAACAATGGCATGAAACATTGATATTTGGTTGATTATTGGTTCTGATGACAACATTTAATGCCATTAAGTTAATAAATTGTATTAAGCCAATAAAATGGCATGGGTCACTTTTCCAGAGGGCCACTAATGGCTTGAAATGTTGATATTTGGTTGATTATTGGTTATAATGGCCACTATTAATACTGTTAAGTAATTAAATTGTGTTAAGTTAATTAAAAAGCACCGCTCACTCATCCAGTGGGCCTACAGTGGCATGAACCGTTGGCATTTGGTTGATTATTGGTTCTGATGGCAACCTTTAATGCCATCAAGTAAAATAAAAGGTGTTAAGTTAGTAAAATAGCATGTATAATCTAAATGCTGTTCAATATTGGATTTTGACATCAGCTTGATTTTTATTTCTCTTTAAAATATATAACAGCAGGACATTTCCTCTGAGGGATTTAAGTCTACACAGGAAAGCCCTTATATGGAAATAGTTGGGGGAGTGTTTATGCAAATCAATAGACTCATTTGGAATGCTCCCAAATTTAATTATTATTAGAGCAATTAATCAATTAATGAATTAATATGCATACACACACACACACACACACAGTGTGCATGTAAATATCAATAATGTGCACGATTACGTGTGTGTTCAGTAGAGTGTGTATGCCGTTCCCTGCAGGAGCACCTGAGCAGTGCACAGGACCTGAAGGAGGACATGGACGACTGTAAGCAGGAGGCGGAGCTTGTGTACGAGACCAACTGCCACTGGGAGGGCTGCAGCAAAGAGTACGACACGCAGGAGCAGCTGGTGCATGTAAGTGTGTGTGTGTGCGTGAGAGTGTGTGTTTGTGTGATTGTGTTAAAGTGTGTGTGTGCATTTATGTGACTGTGTTTAAGTGTGCGTCGGTGTGTGATATTCAGACAGACCTGCTGTGTTTGGACACAGATGAGCAGCAGCAGCGCAGCACAGATGCGTCATCACAAATCACACACTTTCAGCAGCAAATGCATGACAGTGTGTTTTATTCTGAGCCTCTAAACAAGCTTTTGTTTGCTTGCAACTTTATTGAGGACAAGAAGCACCGAGCCGTCAGTCACAGCGCAGCCTGCTGATCTCAGAAAGCTCCTGCTGTTCTTGTGTTTTTTTTCTGTTCTGTGTATTTGGCTCTTAACCGCACTATTTTGAGGAGACTTCTTGACGTTAGCAAGTCAGAGCAGCTGAGTGGCTTAAAGGGTCACGAAACACCAGAACACATGTGTTGAGCTGTTGACAGTCATATAAGTGTCCCACACTGCTAAAAACACTATCAGGACACCTATATTTCACTAAAAAGTGTAAATTGGTTGTTTTTGCGTTATTTCAAGCAAATTCGTACTTCCGGTTTGAAACTAATTGTTGAAGCTGCGTCACGGTCATGAGATAATAGCGTGTATTCCAGCGTGCAGACTGGACGTCTGTGCCAGAGTGTGTCTTATTACGTCTTACAGTGTGCTGCATTAATGCATGAGTAAAGCTTGGTTCAAACCAATCAGCGCGCTCTATTGTGCACCTTCATTAATATTCATTACTGTCACAGTGTTTAGACGACAGAGACGCCACGTTGTGTTGGCGAAACAAGCGTGAAGTGTTGCTTTTATAGTTTGCTGCAGTGAAGTTTTGTTTTCATTTTCTCTCTGTGAGAGCGCAGCTGGAGTCACGTGTGGATTAACAGTGTACGCGACGCTCCACAACAATAACTTACGTGTCTAAGGAGGATTATTGTTTACCTGAGAGCTGTTCTCATCTGCAAACGCTGAGATCCGGATTCGCTTTAGTCTCCTCTTAATAAAGACGCGGCTCTAGTTGCTGGTGATTGTCCTGTCTCTACAGATTTGGTAAGTGAGCGACCAGTGCTCTTTGTTTATTCAGTTTGTTCATATCGAATTAAGTTAACTATTGCACCAAGATAAAACACGCGGCTTTCTGACGCTACCTGCCGTGTGCATCTAAGTTTCCGGGAAATGCTGAGTTTTTTTTTTCTCTCATTCGCCGTGCGGTATCAAACATTGCATGAAAAATACACGCTTACAGCAGTTCCTCGAGTCAAATATCTCGTTTGTCGCGAGGGACATGAATAAATTCCTTGAATGAAAGAGCCAAACTGCAGTTAAAGTCCACCATTTAATAATTTGGCAAATAATTCGACTACAGATGTCCATGTAGGTTAAAAACCATCACTTTCTCGTGTGTGTGTGTGTGTGTGTGTATTTTGACTCTGAAACTCGCTCGTGCCCAAATAGACACTCCCACACCATCCCTCTTCAGTTCCTCCGACACTCCCCCCTAAACAGAGCTGGACACGCCCACTTTTCTGACTTTTTCCAAAGTAGAGGTGTGAAAACATCCTGCTGAAACGAGGGGGTCTCATGGCCCTTCAAGGTGTCACTGACCTCTGACCTAAAGGACACAGCATTAGTCTGTCTAGATGATCTGAATTGTTCAGGTGAAACTGAGCAACTTCTGAAGACCACAGGTGAACAATGTAGTAATGTAGGCAAGGCAAGTTTATTTCTATAAGACATTTCATACACAGCGGCAAATCAAAGAGCTTTACATAAACATGAATAAGAGACAAGTATAATAAAATTAAAAACAAATGATAACAGTGATTAAAATCAGATTAAATGAGTTAAAAAACACAATGAAAAAAGAAGAGAAAAACTTAACAGTAAACATATCAGGCTAAATAATTCAAATAATTATTTTGTTTAGTTAATTTTGTCATCTAATACTTTTTTTACTTTTGATCGAGTAACTTTTAAGATTGTTACTTTTACTTTTACTTGAGTAAACATTCTCGCAAGTACTTTTACTTGGGTGTAGATTTTGGATACTCTACCCACCTCTGCTGGAGACAATACAAAACTAATATTGCTGAAGGGGCTAATAAAATTGACCTTAAAATGGCTTTAAAACAATTAAAAACAGATTTTATTTCAGCTGAAATAAAACCAAAAAGACTTTGTCCAGAAGATAAAATATTATAGGAAATACTGTGAAAAATTCCCTTTCGAAAATGAATATTTTTATCCATTTTTCAGTGATTATTGACCTTATTCTCCGCAGACGAGCAGGCGCTGCCATTTGAATCTTTTTGGCACGAGACTTCCGGTCTTATTTACTTCCATTCATTTTTAGACATTAAAAACTGCTCGTTTCGCTGTTTGATGTTGCAAACTGATATTTTCTTGTTATATTATTCTACTTGGTCTGTATAGTCATGCAAACATTTGTTTTGTAGAGCAAGTACTTTGACCGTTTTTTGCCGTTTATTATTCCGTGTCATTTCTCCCATAGGCGACTGAAACGGAAGATCTAAGACAATCACAAAAACAGGCGCACTTCCGCATTTTAGAATAAGGTCAATAGGCAATCACTTCTGGTGCATTTAACCTCTTAAAGTCAAGAGCTATTTTAGGGTTTCCACCTTTATTTTGCCTACCCAATATTAAAAGCTTTCCAAAATCCACATGCAGAGGTGTAAATGCAAAAAAAATGGTTTTTATTTTAAAGAAAACCCTTTAAATTTTTATAAAACACTGTTGAAAGTGATTAAAATAATTGTATATGTGGTCTGTGTTATAAAAAAAACCTCTCCGAACCCCCTCTTTTTTTTTTTTGTAGACTCAAATTTGAAAGTGAAACCTTTTAGGTTCTGTGTGGTCTGGGTTGTTGTCATTTATTTTGGTGGTTACTGCACATTTCAGTAATCAGAGGAAAAAAATGTCATCATAATCTATGCAAAAGTTATTCTATTCCAACTGATGAGAGAACGGAACTACTTATGGTGCTATTGGGCCAGTACAGACCTTGACAATTTAAAGAATGCAGAAGTAAACAATGTCACGGACCCAGTACCACGCACGCACGCACGCACGCACGCACGCAGAGTTTAACAAAACAGATTTATGAAACATCATGTTCATTAAAATAAGAGTCAGACGACATGCTGGCTCAGTGGTTAGCAAGAAGGTTGCTGGTTCGAGTCCCGGCTGGGTCAGTTGGCATTTTCTGTGTGGAGTTTGCATGTTCTCCCCGTGTTGGCGTGGGTTTCCTCCGGGTGCTCCGGTTTACCCCACAGTCAAAACACATGCGCTATAGGGGAATTGATGAAATAAATTGGCCGTAGTGTGTGTGTGAATGAGTGTGTATGGGTATTTCCCAGTACTGGGTTGCATCTAGAAGGGCATCCGCTGTGTAAAACATATGTTGGAATAGTTGGCGGTTCATTCCACTGTGGAAACCCTGATTAATAATGGGACTAAGCCGAAAAGAAAATGAATAAATGAATATAAATGATATAATAAGGATAGAATAATCGCAGATTGTTGATCAGACTGAGTGATGTGGCTGGGTTTAGGGGGTGAAATGGGTCAAAGGTGTGTGTGTTCACGGCTGACTGCTCTCTGTGTGATGTTTAATGTGCTTTCCTGAGACGGATGATCAATCCCAGCATGCACTGCTCCTGTGTGGGGAACCAGCAGTTTCTGGAGCATTCCAGACAAGCAGTGGAGCGTACAGAGAGAGAAAGAGACTGTCCGTCACACACACACACACACACACACACTGAGACACACACATACACACAAAGTCACACACAGGCACACACACCCACATGCACTTACGGACATACTGTACAGTCCAAAACACCTACATGTACACACACAAAAACACACACACACACACACACACAAACACATGCATGCACAAACATTTAACACAACACATGCAACACACATGCACATTCAACAAAACACAATATGCATGCACACACATTCAACACAAAACACACCACTTCACACACAACACATGCACATACACACACACACACACATGCATGCACCCACACACGCAAATTCAACACAACACACACATACACACAATCTCTCTTTATTCCTCTACACACCAGTAACAAGTTGTTATCAGTGATTGTGTGTGTGTGTCAGTATGTGTGTTATAGTCTCAGTGTGTGTGTGTGTGTGTGTGTGTGTGTGTGTGTGTGTGTGCGCGCAAGCACATGTGGCTTTGTTCGTATTAGTATATATATATATATATATATGTGTGTGTGAGTGTGCGTGCGTGTGTGTGTGTTCCTGTGTGTATCTGTGTGTATCACCTGTATTTTATTATACTTATGTACAAATCTGACTGAGGGGCAGCACAGTGGGTAGCACGATCGCTTCACAGCAAGAAGGTCGCTAGTATGAGTCCCAGCTGGGTCAGTTTGCATTACAGTGTGGAGTTTGCATGTTCTCCCCGTGTTGGTGTGGGTTTCCTCCGGGTGCTCCGGTTTCCCCCACAGTCCAAACACATGTGCTATAGGGGAACTGATGAACTAAACTGGCTGTAGTGTATGAGTGTGTATGGGTGTTTCCCAGTATTGGGTTGCAACTGGAGGGGCATCTCCTGTGTAAAAGACACAGAATAAAAATGAATGAATAAATAAGAATGAAATGAATAAATGAATGAAAGAATGAAGGAATGAAATGTGACTGAACAGTAGGAAGGTTGTTTTAGAGTTAACCAACTCTTTTGAATCAATTCTTTTTTTTACATTTGACATTTTGTTCCTTCAGTTTCATTGATTGAATTGTCATTTATCATCTTCTGAACTCTCAGATCTTCATTTAAGACCCTCTGAACATTAAAAACTCCATTTTGCAGGATGTGTGTGTGTTTAAAGGATTCATTTAGACGGTTCAGAACAAAGTTGATTCACTGAATCTTTAGTGATTGAGACACACAGGCTGGCGGCTGTTTGATCTCCTGAGATGAACAAATGCAGTGCGGATTTAGAAAGTGTTTGTCGTTAATTGCATTGTCTCACAGTCACACACACACACACACACACACACACACACACACACACACACACACACACACCCCGTCACATTCTGACAGATGCACTGATGGATGAATGGCTCTATTAGACACACACTGCTTTATTTTCTCCAGCTCTTGCTGTTTTGTTAAGCCTCTAACAAGCATTGTGCATTACTGGAGACACTTTCATTACTGATCACTAGGGCCAGACAGAATCTGCGAACTTTTTTTGCCATTTCTGCTGAGAATTTTGTAAAGACTCTGCGGATTTATGTGGAATGATTTTGGGAGTATCATAACTAAAACCTTAATATATGAAATAAAAAAGTTACTAAGTTCCTACTCTCACCTATGGTCATGAGCTTTGGGTCATGACTCAAAGGACAAGATCTCAGATATAAGCTGCCGAAATCAGTTTCCTTCGCGGGGTGGCAGGGCGCACACTATTAGACAGGGTGAGGAGCTCTGAAACCCGGGAGGAGCTCGGAGTAGAGCCGCTGCTCCTCCACATCTAGAGAAGTCAGCTGAGGTGGCTCAGGCATCTGTTTCGGATGCCGCCTGGACGCCTACCTAGGGTGTTCCAGGCATGTTCCACTAGGAGGAGGCTTTGGGGAAGACCCAGGACATGCTGGAGGGACTATGTCTCTTGGCTGGCCTGGTAACCTTGGGATCCTCCCGGAGGAGCTGAGGGAAGTCTGGGGTTCTTTCCTAACGCCCCATTCACACGGGGCTTCAGTGTCAACGCTTGACTGAAGGTGTGTCTGAAGTTTGGGCTGAAGTGACCGTCATAGCAGCGTCAGCTAATGAAATTCCGTCAGCAATTGGCCACTGTCTAGCTGGTGTATTTGCATACAGCGATCTGATTGGCTGATGCTTCCCTCAACGCTTGAAAAGTTAAGCTAGTCCCAACTTCTGCAGCGAGCAACGCCTCTGAAGCGGCGCAGACGGATCCACAATTCAGTTTGGGAACACCTGACGTCACCCATTCAAAGTGAATAGAAAGCGTTGACGCTGACGCCTCGTGTAAATGGGGCATAAGACTGCTGACCCCCACGACCCGGCCCCAGATAAGTGGATGAAAATGATGATGATGATAATGATGATGAAATAAAAAAGTATATATTTTTAATTGTATTTATTGTTTACAATGCAAATCCATCTAGAACTACTCTATCATATTATTATAAAACTAATCTATCATATTATTTAATTATCTACTAAAAGACCGAAAATATCATTATTGTAAATAAATGAACGTTTTCATAATTGTCACTTTTATTACTAATTTTAATTTAAAAACTGAACAAACATAAACTTACACACATTTACACAAGTAAATACTTAGAGTCAATGATCGACTAAAAATCTGCACGGGCAGATTCTGTGTGGGCCTACTGATCACCTCTAAAACTCACTCAGACCAGCACAACAGCTCATACACAGCTCAAAATAAGACTTTCACCAAATTATTGACAACAATTCTCATTCACACTGCAAAAAAATGCTTTTGTTACCTGTCATTTGTCTTGTTTCTAGTCTGAATGTCTCAAAATTCTTAAATCAAGAAGCATTTTCTAGTCAAGCAAAACATATCGTCTTGTTTTCAGAAATCATTAGTCAAAATTAGGTGAGTTTTTGCCTATTTTCCTAAAAATAATCTTGTTTTTGCTTTAAAACAAGATTATTAAATTAGTTCATTTGACTTTTACTTTCTGAAAGCATATATACACAGCGCGGGAAATAAGTATTGAACACGTCACCGTTTTTCTCAGCTAACATCTTTCTAAAGGTGCTGTTGACTTAATCTTTCCACCAGATGTTGATAACAGCAAAAGAAATCTATAAATGCAAAGAAAACAAATCGAATTAGTTTAGAAAGGAAGTTCTGTGTAATCAAATGAAATGACACATGGATTGAACACATGAAGAAAGCAAGGTGTAGTTGGGCAGTGAAAGCCCAGACAGCAGCTGAAATCTCTCAGTTTTCTTCAGCAAGCCTCTGCCCTTCCTCAGTGTAAATGAATATCAGCTGCTCCAGTCCAACATCCACATTAGCAGGAGGATGAAGATGAACGCATTTCAGTAAGAGAATGATCCAGAACACAGCGTGTGTGTTTGTGTGCATGTGTGTGTGCATTTGCCTGTTTGTGTGTGTATGTCTCCTGCATTGACGTGTTGCATGTGTGTGTGTGTGTTTGCAGCACATCAACAATGAGCACATCCACGGGGAGAAGAAGGAGTTTGTGTGCCGCTGGGACGAGTGCTCACGCGAGCAGAAGCCCTTCAAAGCGCAGTACATGCTGGTGGTCCACATGCGCAGACACACCGGGGAGAAACCGCACAAATGCACGGTAAGTCTCACACACACACTATTTTTTTTTTAAACTGCAGTTTAAAAAATTTATTAAAAATTGTGCTGAAAAAAATGAACAAATGAATATTTATTTATTTATTTATTTATTTATTTATTTATTTATTTATTTATTTATTTATTTATTTATTTATTTTTTATTTATTTATTTATTTATTTTTTATTTATTTATTTATTTATTTATATATTTATTTATCCATTTATTTATTTATTTATTTATTTATATATTTATTTATCCATTTATTTATTTATTTATTTATTTAATAATAAATTAATTAATTAATTTAATTTAATAATTATATAAAATAATATTTATTTATTTATTTATTTATTTATTTTTATAAATATAAAATTCCTTTAAAAGCTAATAAAAAGGAAACTGCATTTTATGCTAAAAAGTATTAAAAATGTCCCCAAAACTACAAGAAAATGTATAATAAAAATAATATCGTTAAAAAAAATACATATAAAAAATACAAAAGAAACATGCAAATGTCTCTTATACTTAGCAAAACGAATCAAAAAGCACAACAACGTCCAAATAACACAGCAAAGAATTGTTGTATTTGTTAAGTTTTACTTTATTATGGTTTATTAATGTGTGTGTGTTGTCGCCACCAATAGCCTAGTGCAGTGTTTCTTAACTGGTGGGTCGCGACCCAAAATGTGTGTGGTCAAATAAACAACAAACGTTTAACTTGTAACTTATTTTGCTTATACAAGACTCTTATTTTGAAATGCACGAGCGACAACTGTGTCAATAAATAAATTTTATGTCAATAAATCTCCACTATCCTACCACAATAATGGTGAAAACCCCTAAAAAATAATTATATATGTTTGTATTTTGTGTGTGTGTGCGTGCGTGTGTGTGTGTGTGCGTGTGTGTGTGTGTGTTTCAGTTCGAGGGCTGCTCAAAGGCGTATTCTCGTCTGGAGAACCTGAAGACTCACCTGCGTTCACACACTGGAGAGAAACCGTACGTCTGTGAACACGAGGGCTGCAACAAGGCCTTCTCCAACGCCTCCGACCGAGCCAAACACCAGAACCGCACACACTCCAACGAGGTACAGACACACACACCCTTGAAATTCAATTCAATTCCCCTTTATTTGTATAGCGCTTTTACAATGTAAATTGAGTCAAAGCAGCTTCACATTGGAGATCATGTATACAGTGCAATGCTCATACACAGCTGAAGTCAGAATTATTCGACCTCTATATTTTCCTCTAATATTTTTTCTTCTGGATAAAGTCTTGTTTGTTTTATTTAGGCTAGAATAAAAGCAGTTCTTAATTGTTTTAAAGCCATTTTAGGGTCAATATTATTCACCCCTTCAGCAATATTAGTTTCTGATTGTCTCCACAACAAACCACTGTTATACAATGACTTGCCTAATTACCCTAACTTTACCCTAATTACCCTAGTGAAGCCTTTAAATGTCACTTTAAGCTGAATACTAATGTCTGGAAGAATATCCAGTCTAATATTATGTGCTGTCATCATGACAAAGAGAAAAGAAATCAGTTATTAAAACTGTTATGATTAAAAATGTGTTGAAAAAAATCTGCTTGAAAAAAAAGTTGGGGGTAATATATATACAGGAGGGGCGAATTCTGACTTAAGCTATCTAGAATAATATTCATTTCTACGACTAGGGGTGCCCAAACTCAGTCCTGCAGGGCCGGTGTTCTGCAAAGTTTAGTTCCAACTCCTATCAGGCACACCTGGGCTGGCTAATCAAGCTCTTAGGCCTTCTAGAAACATCCCTGCAGGTGTGTTGAGGCAAGTTGGAGCTCAAATCTATAGTACAGCGGCGCTCCAGGAATGAGTTTGGACACCCCTGTCTAAGACCATTAAGATGGTTTGCTATTGAAATTTTTTCCACAATAACATTTTGTAAAATATTATTTTTTTTGTATTCAATTCATTCATCTAATGGTGCATTTGTGCAGTTTCTTATTAATATTCATTTATATATATATATATATATATATATATATATATATATATATATATAT